GAAACACTGAACTAGAAAACACCAACATTTTTTTAATTCTTTTGCTAATCTTACCTGGTAAGCAGATAAACTGTGCAATTCTATTTTCATAGAACTGTGCAATTCTCTAGCAAATACACTAAAGAGGTAGAGCTCAAGCAGGTGAAGGTTTGTGAAGCCAGTTCTTCGGAAGAGGCTCTCTCCTTAGGCAGTCAGCTCTAGGTCTGGCTGGCCTTCCCTCTGCTTTCAGACTTACATTTGCACTAACATTATTACTTTCCACATCAACATGGTGACCAGCTCCGTTTACACTGGTATGCTTCCCAACATAATGCTTTGGCTTTTACCGTGATACCAGATCTGTCCCCTGGATTCTGGTACTTTTGCAGGGCTCGCCTCGTACCATCTGGTTTTTGGCAGGCTGTGCCTAGGCTCAAGACCTGGCAGGCCAGATGCTGGGGCTGTTGTGAGGCAGAGAACATAGTTCACTTTTAGATGCGATGTGACGATCTTGCTGAATCCTTAGGTTATTTTTTCCTAAGTTGGCCAAATATTAAGCAATGACTGAAAAAACGCACCCTGGTAAAATCTGTTCAAGTGCATAAAATCATACAATGTGTTGCTGATTTCCTCTTCTGCAGCAAGGCACCAGCCTTTCAGGCACACGAAGTGTAAAGAGCCTTGCAGCTTTCAAATTTACAGCTGTCCAAATCAAATGTGCAAACTCAGTGGAGTTTGTTTATTTAATTCTGCTTTATAATACCCTTAACTTGATACCAAGTAAAAGAAACAATCTGGCAAAGACATCATTAAACAGATTAATAAGGACTGGATGACTCATTTTGTTTGAACAAATGGATTATTTTGCAATCAGAAGTACAAATGTTAACCAGCTTTATTTTTAGTTGAAAATGTCAAGAGGTCAGAAACAATTAAAGCAACTGTAAGGTGGGAGTACCCAGAGTTTGTGTTCTCTTGGATTTACACCTTACTAAAATTGCTTTTATTGCAGCTTAGTGACTTACTAACATTTTTCTGATAAGATAATGGGAAATGACTGTGTAGGCATATTTACTGGTAAGAAGAGATTAGAGTCAAACAGAAATGGAGCATACTTTTCATTTTAACAGAACAAGAGCTGGAAAGCTGAGAGGATCTGCTTTTTCCTTGCATGAGTTCAAATGTAGTGATTGTATTTTAAAAGGAATGTCTGACATGCTTAGGACTTTTATGTCAGCTCAGAATTCAGTGTTTCGAATATCAGCTGCAAGATACTTCATGTTGCAGTTCCTTCTTTGAAAGTTTATTGTGTTTAGAGACAAGAGAATGTGATGTTAAAGTGCAAAGAACGCATACCGCAGCTCAGCAGCAGGACTGCTTCGAGAACAGGCACTTTGGCATCAGGAGGTGCTGCTGTTGAGCCTGTCCCTTGCAAGCCATGCACTAGCAAGGTTGGAGGCAAGTTTAGGGGAGAATGTTCCTTTTGCTGCTCCCAGTGTCAGGGGGTTGGAATTACTGGCCCTATGTAATTAGGCACCATGAGCTCACTGGTGCAGCATCTCACTCAGCCTGTTCCTGGTGCACCCAACATAGCAGAGGCACCACCTGAGTCACCTGCAGGGCTGTCATCTCTGGTGCGGGTGCTCTGCTGGGGGTCACCGTGGGGCTTGTGTGATTCCAGGAGGATGGCAGGAGCCGATGGCCCAAGGGGGATTGGATGCTCTGTGCCAGAGGTGCTGGTGGTGATGGACAATTCCAGTATTGCTCTGCCTGCTGTTGCGTCCACCGGCTGAAACTTGCCTTGTGCTCTCACTGGTGCCTGATCTGCTTCTTTTCCCCAGCTGGAACACCTTGGTAACTGTGTGTTCTCTGTAACAGGTCCGGATCGAGGATGACATTGCAGTGACAGCCAGTGGAATGGAGCTGCTAACCTGTGTCCCACGTACTATTGAAGAAATAGAGGCTTTCATGGCAGAAGGCCAAAGCAGTGCCAAGTCATTTGAGTGCCTCTCCAACCAAAAGCAGTAAACTTGAGGATGATAGTTACTGTCTAAGCTAATCACTCATCATTCTGATTTAATGCTGCAGCATATACAGTAAAACACACCAAATTCTTAATAGCAAGAGAGGTAGGCAGGCTATTAGCTGGAATGATCCATTCATTAAAAATGAAGGTAGAAGGCTTCAGCACTTGATATCCAAGTAATTCAAAATACTGCTGCTTCCCATCAGCAGTTTACATTGCCAAGTACTACCTGAATAACCCTACTGCATTAACAGTGGGACTTATATTTCTGTCAGATCCCAGCTCAGCCATATCTTGCGATTAAATCTGAATTTCGGTGATTTGGACTCTAATTATCTGAATGCTGTCAGCAGTTGTAACAATCTAAGTCCTTTTTTGAACTTCATCCCAGGTACTGTGAAAATCATAGAAGAAAAAACAGCTGTTCTCAGTGAACATGACACATTTTTCTTACAGATCTTGTTTCAGTGTCAATGGAGTACACAGAATCAAATTTTTATTAAAATTACCCTTGGCATCATCTATGCTCACAACTTCGTGATCATTATGCTCTTCTGCTCCAGTTCCTGCTTCTTTATCTGACCTTTCTACCAATTTGTGCTCTGGAAACTTTGACCCGTCGTTAGCTAGATCTGTCTGCTCTGGGTAGTGGGCGTACTGATCCTTAACACGCAGCCCAGTGCTTATTAGATTTGTCCATCTGTTTGTTCCTTAAAAATGTTGATTGCTGTGGTATTGACAAGCCTTAGAAATAACAAGAAGGGAGAATCTTTGCTGCAGGGCTCATGGTCATTCATCAGCATATGCTGTGCAGAATGGTATTTTTAACTATCCAGTGTTAGCCGGCTCACAATGAAATCACGTCAGCTTTATTTGGATACACCACAAATATAGTAATAAAGATCATAACTTGAATTTCCATTCATGCAAGGTTTAAATTACCCAAAGGGACCTTTCTTTACTGTAGGTGTTCATCAGCCTGCAGGAGAATAAATACATTTCTTGCATCATAAAACAGCACTAGTTGCTGTAACTACATAAAAATAATCTTGGTCACTTTATGAACACATCAGACTCCGGTCTTCAGGCTCTGTTGCCCAGTTTGAGTGCAAAGCTGCTTCAGAACGTCTGTCTGCCATGCAAGGGGGGACTGAAATCACAACAGGATGTCGGGGGCTTTCAGGGTCATACCACTTGCCCGATGAGAGTTTTCCCATTGTGAAGGTTGACTTGATTACCTCGGTGTTGCAGTTCTGTTGCTCACATGTCACTTTATTAACAAATGAGTCCATTTACATTTTTTTTAAAGGTTGCTGGGCACTGGTTTGTAAGAGGTAAGTGCAGGAGGTCTTGATTGTGAAGGAGAAGGGGCAAGAAGGGGAGGGTGTGGGATCTGTAGCTCGTATTTGCAACTGCACTAATGCTTCCTTCTGTGATCAGGTGTCATGCCTCTGAAATGTAGTACTTGTGCAGAGGACATCAGGCTTTGCTTTGATAGCTTTGCAGATTCACAAACGTAGAAACTACACTAGCACTGCTTCAGAGTTGTCTGCCCCTAAAACTGGGGAGCTTTTTCCAGTGCAAGACAGTGCTCGTGGCCTCAGCCCTCTTCCAAGTGTTTTCCTGCTCTGAACACACCCATGGGATCACTCACTGCTTTGGGCACTCTGAAACCTGCTGTTGCTTGGGTTCAATTTCCAAGTAACACCTCAGAGATTTAAAAGAAAAAAAAAAAAAAGGAGTTTTGGAATTGTTTCAACTAAGCTGTAACCCCAGTCTAGTTAATAGGCCTTTCCCTGCCTGTGATTAATCTTGGCAAATATTGGCCTCTGCTGTTGCAGAACAGGTCGAGCAATCTGGGATGCTGCAGGAGGCAGAACTGGTTCTGCTTCAACATGTACCAGTGAACAAACCCTGCCATGAGTGAGTTGTGGGGAGAGCACTTGCTCACGCAACCAGCTGCTCTGTTGTTTGCTTGCCTGAAACATGGGTGCGTTTTGGGCTGGGACGGTGCACTGTCTCCCATTTTCCTTCATTATCAGGCCCGTGAACTTGGTGAATATGAATTTCATCCTTCCTTCCAGAAGTCTGTTCTGTAATTATGATAATTTTTATCCACTTAAGAAAAAAGTGAATTAGAACTTTTTTCTAAATTGTGTGTGTGATTGTGATGCAGGGAATTAAACCTTTTAATAATGACAAAGTGGTATTTAATACACTTTAACTGTATTGGGGGGGGGGGAGAAATACAGGTTGTGGCAAACTTTCTTTTTGACTACATTAGGATATTTTAGGCTGTTTGTTAGCTATGTTTTCCCAAATGCTTTTCCCCTTGGTGCAAACAGACTCAAAGTGGCACCAGAATAACAGTGTGTTATGTTGAGCAAGTTGCTGTGTTTAGAAAGGGCTGAGTGCTCCTGAACCCGTCTGTTTAAACTGTGTCAGCTCCCTGGGGTTGGATGCACTTGGGATTTATCTGCAGGGTATAATTAAAGTGGTAGATCCTCCTAGTGCTGGTGGAGTCTAGAGTAGCAAAAAAATGGGAATGTTGCCTGGTAAAATGTATTGTGCTCCTTCTTCTAGTGACAAGCACTGTATTCTGTCACAGACTATAGCTGTTAAGACAAATGTGACAAAGTGTCAAAAAGGAAAACCTGTTATAGGCCTACTATGAAATTTTCTTGTGTAGATGCAATTTTCTTGTTTTTAGGAAGGAGTCATCCAAGTCACCTGCCATGGGTGTTCTGTGTTTTGCAGTGGCATTTTGCTGTCACACAGCCTGGGCTGCTCCACCCTGGGGCAGAGCTGGAAAGCCTCACCTCTGCCTTTGCCTCTCAGAGGTCTGAGACAGACTGGTCTCATAGACTGGTTTGGGTTGGAAAGGACCTTATAGCTCATCTAGTTCCAACCCCCTGCCACAGTCAGTGACACCTTCCACTAGACCAGGTTACTCCAAGCGCCTGTGCCCAAGCTGGCCTTGAACACTGCCAGGGATGGGGCAGCCACAGCTTCTTTGGCCAACTTCTGCCAGTGTTTTACCACCTTCATAGCAAGGAATTTCTTCCTAATAGCTAATCTAAATCTCTCCTTTTTGGCAGGCAGAGCTTAGAATAGTAGACTGACATTTTCCTTCCAACCAAACTCTGAGTATAGATTTAATGTAATAATTTGTTATAATCTTGGGTTCCTGACTTCACATATTAAAGTGATATGCGGCACACAGCCTACACGCTTCCCTAGACAATCAAAGCAAGCGTGGAGACTGCCAAGCCAGAAATGCCACTGTGCAAACAAATGACTTTTCAACTAACTCAGTGGTTTTATTTTAGACAAGAAGGAAGTGGAATCAGAGCTGTCAGGAGTAACAGGTGGAGAAGGCACCCACCAGAGCATCAGAAAGATTATTACTCCTACTCAAATATATTTAAGAAATCATTTGGAGTCCCTGTTGTGGTTATTAGGGGAAGATCCAACACCAGCCAGTCAACAAGGCCATGTAATCCCAATTCACAGAGCTGACAACTGACAACTGACAAGCTCCTGGCCTTTACATCAGAGTAGGCAGACAGTTAAAATAAGGTGCTTTCACATCATCTTTTTCCTTGTAGTTTTTGGTGTTCTGTTCCTCCCCCTTTTAATTGCAGTACATTTTCAGTCTTAAATTTCTTTTGGTTTTGTTTTTTTGGTGTGTTGTTAGCATTGTTTTTAAATCAGGAATTCAGCCAAAAGTGTAGTAAGGTTTTGATTCTTTCCATTCAGTAAAAACCTGTGTGGAAGACAGAAAGGGAGTCTGTTGCACTGATTTCTCAATGATAGCTGCTTGAGGTAGGCACCTCTGCATTTGAGGAAAATACAAAAGGGACAGGAAAAATGAGGCTAGCACTTGAAGCAAAAGGGTTTTATTAGCTTCTGATATTTCAGCCCTACCTACTTAAGCTGCAGCTAGAAACAACAAACAAACAAACAAACAAATGTATCTTTGTAAAAAGACTACCAAACAATCCATAAAAGTTTTCCACATGTATTAAAAGTTTAAATTCAAAATAAAATTGTCAAGGTTTTGTTTTCTAACAGCATCTTTATGGAGATAATATCCAAATTCTCTTCCTAAGTACAGATACAAGGCAAACAAGCGTCCTACAAAATAATCTCTAGAAAAAGGTAGTGTAGGAGGGAAATTAAGACAGTGTAATAATCCACTAGCCAGACACACAGGTTAAATGTAACACAACCATACCATCAATGAAATACTTTAAAATGAAAATAAATTAAGGTTACATCAAAGTTCCTGCTTTACCTGTATTCTTCAGATCCTCAATATGGAACATACCACTGCATTATGGATCATGGCAAAGACCTAGCACTAGCATTAAAAAAGTTGCTATAGAAAAACTTTTATGAAAATAAAACAAGACTGAAGATACTCCTTCACACAACTGTATGATGGCTATAGGAATTCCACTGAATCAGTTCTTTAAACTAGGGCCGTTTAGTTTTAAAACCACTCCAAATACAAGATTTTAGTTGTAAATCTGAGCAGCTATGAAAGTGGAGATGAATGTCAACAAGCAGTGATCCATTCCGGCTGAACAGATGCTATCTTACCCCTTTCATTTCTTATCCAAGCCACACATTTTGTTCTTCCCAATACCTGCACCCCAGCAAGAATGCAATTTTGCAGAGCACAGTTTTCTGGTAGCATTTTGACATTTTGTGAAAACCAGAATCTTGTTCTCATAAGGCCCCAGTCAGTGTGTGAGCAATGTGAACACAGGCTTAGAATTAGGCTTTGTTACACTGCTGCTTTACCTCTTATACATGATGCTTCAGACCCACTTGCCATTTAGAAGCCAACTGCCTGTATATATCATCATAATATAGTGCTATTTTTCTAGAAAACATCAGCGTCTCAGCTCACTATTAGTACACACCCTCCCCATTAACTATAAGAGGGCAGGAAAGACCAAGTGGTGCTTTATAGGACTTGCTTTACAGATTTAAAGTTGTCCACCACGTAGGAAACCAAACACCCTCCACGGCCTTTGCAGTTCTGTAATATGTAATGGGGAAAACAAAGGTCCTAAATACACTTACTTAAAGGTATTTAAAAGACATTTTATCCAATTATGAGTTCCTGGATACTACAGTGAACCATCCTGCTGGATTCCTCCCATTATGCAAACTATAAGAAGGTAAGTGAACATTTCTGTGAAAATGCTATTTCCCTAATACTAAGCTCCTTGTTGGCTATGAATTTAGATCTGCATTTATCAGATACATCTTTTAAAGGAGAAAATTACTTCAAAATGAATACCATAAGCAGTTTCTGGTTTAATTGTGTCAAACCTTCAGTGTTAAACCTAAAAAGAAGAAAATCGCCACAAAATGATAGGTAAAAGAATGGAGTTTTTGCCTGGTTACTGCATGGGCATTGCAGACAAGCTGCACCTCGAGAGTTCATTTCATAATGTTGCAACAGTGTTTACTGCCCATCGTTTTCAGGATTTGTTGTGGTGGTTTCAGTGCCAACAGGTTGCACATTGTCTGCAAGGCTGTGTGCGTGCTCGAGGAACAAGTCTTTCAGTACGCTCAGCTCCTTGGTCAGGAGCTTAATTTTTGCCTCTAAACGTTCATTTTCTTCTTTGAGCTGGTTGACCCTTTGCAGCGTGTCTTGTGCTTTCTGCTTGCTTTTTAACCGGCTCTTTTTCACTGCCATGTTGTTTCGCTCTCTGCGCTTACGATACTCATCACTGTTCCTGTCCACAAAGGAATTTTTCTTTCCCTGTTTGCTTGGAGGCACAGCTTTACCTCCACCACCAGGACTAACAGGCACCAGCTGGGGAACCTGCTGCAAACCACTGGTGTGTGCTTGGGTGTGAATCACGCTTACTCCATTCGCATCTGTACTGGTGTTGTGTTGGGATGTCTTGCTCATTTGGACAGGCTCTTCTTGGACACAACAGAATTATTAGGAGACTGAATATGATTATGTTTCTAGAAGGTGTTTCCAACAGGTCTTCACATGGATTATGGGCAAGATGAACCTAGTAGGAACAACAACAACAAAAAAAAAGCTCTTAAAGGTGCTGGCTTCAGCTACAACCTTATACATCACTAGCTTTTAGCATAAGGGACTGATGGTACATCTGGGAATAACACATCACAACTGTGCTGGAAGTGGACAAGCTGCCAACTGCATTTCAGAAACCTCTCGAATGTATTTGGATTGGAAAGGACTGTTACTGGGTCATCTAGTCAAGCTGTTTGTATTGTTCACTGGCTTTACTCAGTTATTCCAAAGCCATCCCTGACGGATGGGTGTCTAGCCTAGCCTTGAATATCTCCAGTTTCACAACCTCTGTCTTGGCAACAGGTTCCACTGTCTAACTTTTCCTCCAGTTATATAATTTTCTTAATTTTCAGACTGGAGTTTTCCTTCTGCAGTTTAAACCTATTAACAGCCTGACTCTTGACCAACAGGACTACTTGATCTTTGTCCTCTTCAGACCATCCCTCTGGGTGTATACACAGACAGATTCCTCCCTGGTCTCTTTTCTCTGGAGTGAGGGTGCTCAGACTGTCCACCTTCCCTCGAGCATCTTAACAGCACTTGCTCCTGAAGATGATGTCCACATTGATGACTGTTTTAAGATCTTAACCAAGTAGAAAAAAACACTCTATGCAAAAAGGTAGTGTGCTGTGAAGGCTGTGACTGAGTGACATTAAAGGATCCCCTTTACCACAAGCAAGGTAAGACAAGCTAAACTTGTTAACAGTACTGTAACGAGCCAGTGGCACTGAAATATAGGGTGATGGCAATGTGAGAATCACTACACTGCAAAGCCAGAGGACTGTTGCCACCCATAGGAAGACAGCAGCTGCAGCTGACTTGTCCACGAAATATATTCCCCTGCTGTAGCTCCTGCACCAGTTTTTGCTCACTCTTCTTTCCAGCAAACAGGCCTGACAAGCGGGACACCCTCTCACCTGTCTCACATTCTCCTGCTACCGCAGTCAGCCTGCTCCTGACCCTACTGGTGGCACAAGGAGGACTCCAGCACAGCTGTTGCCAGGACATGGCCCTGGCAAGGCCAACAGCTGCTCCCCTTCACTTCCCATCTCACAGGATGACCTCCTAAATGCCTAGGAGAGAAGTCTGGGAGAGAAAAGGGGAAGGGCAACAAGGTTCTTCTAAATTCCTGAAACATCTATCTACCTATGGCTCCAGTGATGAGTCAAACAAGTGCTGATTTCTTATCATGTTAAAGAAAAGTATCTAACTGGTATGAAACAATCCTACTCCAAGATCGGATTCCACTGCAGCAGTGCAGCTCTCTGCTCTGTCACACACATGCAGTATCACATGACTAGTGTTCAACATCCTCCTTGCCCATCCTCAAGAGGACCTGCTGGGACAGCAGGCAGTTGAAGTTAGTGGTGAGCAATGTTAACAGCTGCATCCAATCCGGGGATTATGCCTTTCATCAGTAACAGCACAAGAGACAGATGACTGCACTCCTGTGTCTACCTGATGAATTGAAGTGGTGAGGTGTTTGTAAAGAAAACTGCTGTGTGTCACTGGTCTTTCTAAACTCACGGGTTCAAGTTCATCATCTGTTTACTGGTCTTGTTTGTTTCTCTCAGCAGTCCGAGCTGCTGGTTTACCTTCTCCTACGGTAGCATTAAAAAGGTTAAAATTCTGTCTAGATAAATTTCAAATTTGTTTGTACTAAGGGAGCCAGAACAAGAGGCAGCTGCTGTGTAATTCAGTAAAATTCACAGAAAAGCCTAGCAAGTTTGGCTTGAATATTATTCAAAACTAACATTCTCTCACTGCAAAGTCTTCTGGCTTAGAACAAGTGATGTATGAGTACGCCCACATCGCTTCTACCAGGAAATCTTTTCATTTTTGGATTTCAGAGTAGAAAGTGACCATCAACTCTTTTTGATATCTGCATAGCTAAATATAAATACCTGTCTAACCTTTGTATTTAGTATTTTCCTGATTTCAACTCTTAAAGCAACTTTTGAAAACTACATAAAGTCTTAGATTCTGATCAAATTAACAATTTGATTCAGCAATTAAACTGAATATACAGCTAACAAGATGTCACTGCGCATATACCAGACTGGCAAGGCCAGTTGTAGTAGCTGTGCATGGGTGATTGCATAGATATTGTTAGTCAAAATGCAAGTGTATGTTCTTCTTGAAGCATATACTGGCTTTATCTCAGATTTAAATACAGGATTTCTGTAGTCCTCAGAGAGTATATAGATAGCTCTGTTAGACTGCCTATGACAGCTTAATTTTTCCACTGATTTTTAGCATCTGATTCTCAAAGTGACAGTATACTCTCCTGTCCTCTCCATTTCAACAGATTACAGTGCTTGGTAACTTCATCTGGACAGCCCAGCTAAGGAACCCATACCATTTTCATGATCTGTTTCATGTGCTTCATGAGATACTACAGCGGAAGTTTCTTCACATCGCTAGGTTCCATGTGCTGTTTCTCTCTACACTACTGAAATCTTTAATATTGCTTTAATGGTCCCTTCAGATCTCTATCATATTCCCCTGTAATTCAAAGGGGAAATTGTTTGTTCCATTAAATCAAATTTTAATGGAGTATTTCAGTTGGGCAGTACACAGGTACGAGCAGAGAAGATGAACCAGTGTCACATCTCTCAAGCAAGCATTCCAGCCCCGCTAGAACAGATGTCCCTTGATTCTTTCCCACTGGACCTGATCCATATTGTATCAAGTAACCATTTAATAAGTGAGACACACTCTTATCTAGCTTGACAATCAGAACTCTTACCTGGGAGAGATGACACATGGATACCTGTCCTGTTCCAACTAACATTTATGCAAAGCAAGCAGCACTAACTGCACTGTATCACAGATAACCCAGGAGTGGTAACAGCTGAGGCCTGGAACTGTTTTTTCCCCCTGCTTATTTGGAGGCTGGATCCCTATTATCAACTGTCAGTTCTTCAACAGAATGACAAGAAGGAAGAATATCCTGGATAGCAGCAGGTGCTATGTGGCATCCTTCAAGGAATACTGCAAGGAGATTTAAAAACAGCAGGTATAAGACATATGAAGGGGGTTCTCACAAAGGGTTGGGTAAAGGACACAGGTGTCATGAGGGCAGGGAGGCAGATGGGTCTCAAGAGTTCCATTTCTCAGACACCGTCACACTATCACAGCTGCTCTGCTCCTCTCCCACACACAGGTTGGTTTCCTGTAAATGGACAACAGCCCCAGCACAGCAGGAGGCAGCTGCTTGGAAAGCCACTGAGTCTCCCAGCATCTTGTTCCCATAAAGCTGCTCATCAGCTAAAGCTCAGCAACAGCCCCAGGCTGGTTCCACCCAGCACATGGTAGTGTTTCCAGTGGCCAGTTAGAACTGCCTTGTTTTCTCCTTGGGCCACCAACTGGCCACCCACTGCAGCCTACATAATAGCTGGTAACTCAGAAGTGTTTTCTCAGGCAGGTAAGTGTTTCTTACTGTCTGACAGCACTCCTCAGTGACCACAGAATCTCCCAAGCAAATCAAGGCCTTTATTTTGCTTTCACAAAAAAAAAACAAAAAACCAAAACAAACAAAAATAAAAAACAGAAAACTTCTGTTTATTTTGGTTAAAAGCAAAAGATCTAAGTAACAAAACCTGTTAACTTAGATCAGGTTGGTTTTTTTTTACTTGGCAGAAAAAGGAAAACACAAAATGCTTCTTTCTGCTTCTTTTCTGAGATGTGACTGTGTTGATTCTGATCTTGAGTCAGATTTATTTATTGCACAGTCACTTAGATGCCTTGTCTAATGCAAAATCAGTCCCAATCTGCACAGCAATAGATGGCCTCCTTTGTCTCCCACTCCAGCAGGAATACTCCAGCAGGATCTAACTTTAAATCCAGATAACCCTGTACAAAGAACAGCACAAAGCTCCAGCCATACTGGCTCAACACTGGATGGACCCACTCCTGTGTGGTTTTCTGCCCACTCTCACGGGCAAGTTAGTAAGAGCTGATGGTAACTCTCGCATACTGAAGGCTACACAACTTTGAGACTGGGTAGTTGAAATCTACCATCTGCTGCCGTAACTGACAAAGCCGCCTTCCTGTATTTTTCTTGGAGTTTTTCTCCATACAGCTTAAAAGAAAAATACACTCCAACATCCTTAAAAAAATGTGCTCAGAACATCTGAACTATGCATTTTAATTGCAGGTTGGCAGCATCGATGACAGAACCACAAACAATTCCAGGTACCAGGAGGCAAGGAGGTATAGATGTGATCCTGAGTTGTAATGAGGGCAGCTATTCCTAAAGATGAACTAATGTCTTAAATCCAGGAGTTTTTAAAATTACAGATTTGCATGCTTTCTGAAGAGGCATTACAACCACTATCGCTAAGGGTTGTACCGCCTTGTTTTAATGACTGCTATTTCCCACCAGATGTCAGAGCTAAGACCGACACCAGGCGTTGTGCTAGATCTGCTTTGAAAGTTGTGCCTCGACCTGTAAAAATCTGTTGGGAACCACAGCGATTTGTCAAGGCATTCAGAACTCCACTGAGCGCCCTTACAGCGTCCCAGTCCTTACAACGCGGCGTTCTGTCGGCACCGGCGGCCACTCGCTGACCTTCCCCCAGGCCGGGCGCACTCGGCAACAGCTGCGACGACGGCGCGGCCCCGCTGTCAAACGCACCTGGGGCCGCGTCGGGCCGGCCCCGCTCCCCCGGGCCGGACTCACCGCAGGCACCGGGCCCGCTCCTCCCCTCTCCCGCGGGCCCGTGGCGGCGGCGCCGCCGCCCTCCCCGGGGGCCGCCCGTCCCCGGCCGCGCTGCTCCTGCTCCTGCTCCTCCTCCCCCGCCGCACGGGGCGCAGGGGTGCCCGGCGCTGCCAAGCCGTGACTTCACCGGGGGAGGAAAGGGAAGGGAAGGGGAGGGGAGGGGAGGGGAGCCGGGGCCGCCCGCCGATTGCATCATGCGCGCCCCTGCGACACGGCGGGAGGAGGGAGGGAGGGAGACGGCCGAGGGCCAGCCCGGCCCGACGCGGCCCCCAGGCCCCCCCCACCCCAGCGCCCCGGCCCGCCGCCCCCCGCACGGCCGCGCTTACCTATGGCGGCGCGAGCGGGCGGTGGCGGAGGCGGCGGGAGGGGCCAGGCCGGGCCCGAGCCTCCTTCCTTAACGTGCGGCGCGCAGGAGAGCGGCGATTGCGACACCTCCCGCTCCGCCCGCCCCCTCGCCAATCGCCACGGCGCCGGCCGCCGGGATGATGCAATAGCCGCACCGATAGGCAGCCGGCGCTGCCAGTCAGGCCCAGCACCCCTGCACGGAGAGGGCTCACCCTCGCCGCCCCGTCGGGAGTCGCGTCCCGCTGCCGCCCGCTGGAGGGAAAGGCGCTGAGGGGCCACGGGCGTCCGCGGCGCTGCGGGCGCCATCTTCCCCTCTCCGACATGGGGAGGGCGCTGGAGGAGGTGTTGAGGGGCTTGGCGGAGGAGGCTGGTGGTACCTCCCCACGGCCCCCCGCTGCCCTGCGCCTGCAGCCTGTGTTTCCCGATCCCTTACCCTCGAGGGCAGCACTGGGGGGACTCGTCCCACGTGCGGGTGCCCCAGGCCGGGCCCCAGCTGGGTGATGCGTGGCGGCAGCTGGCACGGAATTGGCCAGAACAGAGTTGTGTTTCTGTACTCGTTGGCACCTGTTAATTGGGCCTGTGCTGTTAATTAACACCTGGCTGAGTATTTCCATCTCAGTGTAGCTGCTGTGTGGTTTGTCTCTGCGGGTGGATGAGAGATACGGTGGAAGGAATTCTAAGGACTCCAAATGAGACTTCTAACTGTTCACTGCAGAAATTGTGGCAAATTCCTAGATTTCATAAACTATCATTCAGTTTTCCTTTTCAGACATTAAGAAAAGGCTAAACCCTGGCAGACTGGGGAACATCTAAATCATGGAGCTAAATGTCATTAAATTATGCACCGATTCGCTGGTATGTGTTTGTTATTGTAAAATACTTCACTTTTTATAGAGAAGAATTGGGTTTTGGCCCTTAATGTTTTCAGACGCTCTGGTTTACAACACTTTCATTCTGCCTAAAAAAAAAATCACAGTGTGTACACGTATACATATGTTAATATCTCAAGCTCTGTATGTCCAGGATGTGCTTACAGCTCTTCAGATGGGAAACAGGCAGTTCTGTACACAGGCGTGTGCATCTGCAGCATCGCCAGTTTATAAGGTCAGTTTTGAACAAGGTCAGGCGTGCAGTCAGTGAAAACAGTAGTGTGAAGGGGAAAAAAAAAAGCAGTCTTTGTTTAAAAGCAGAGAGACAAAGTTGCAATCTGTCCCTTACACCAGTTTAGCGCATAGACCTGCCTGGGAAATACTTCATGTCTGCAAAAGTGGGAAAACTCAGATTTGTAAACGCCGTTGTAGAGCTCAGTGATGCAGATACAGTTACTTGTATTTGCCTTTTTTATGTCTGGGTGATGTTGGGGCAGAGGGGGTGGGGATTGTTCCTGTAAAGCCTTGTGGAAAACAAACCAGGTTTGCAGAAGTGTTTCTGAGGATTAGCCTGCGCAAAGAGTTTTGCTCAGCTCATTACCATGAAGATACTTTTCCTTGTCAGTCATCAAGTATTTGCTTTAGAGTCTAATATTTTTCTGTTTCTCAGTTGAAACTGTTACATTTTCTGTGACAATGACTCATCCATCTATAGGTAGAGAAAAATTCCAGGTAAGCATTAACCATTATCCTTTGCTCACAATAGTTAAGTAAGTGTGTGCTCTTAGAGTGCTTTCCTAGGATTTTAGAGCACTTTATGACCATTCATTCATTAATCCTCATGAAAGAAAGCTGAAGAAAATAAAATGTAGACCAACTTATTCTCAGAGTCTGATTATTCTAAACGTTAATGCTCACACATAATTCAGCACAGGTAAGGAGCTCCCGCGCTTAGTTGGCATTGTATCCTGTTACAGGAAAACCATCACACAGTGTGCTTTAGTGTTTGCAGGATTTTTTTTTTTTTCCCACAGCATTACAGTAAAAACAGGATATGATCAGACTCTGAGAATAAGTTGGTCTACATTTTATTTTCTTCAGCTTTCTTTCATGAGGATTAATGAATGAATGAAGTGCTCTAAAAAAAAAATCAGGATATGATGGAAGCAATCTAAGAAGTAGCCACATGAATGTATGGGAGCTGCTCAAGAGGTGTCATTGAAACACACCCTTTACCTGCTTGTTTGTGAGTTACTGAGCTGTGCAGGAGCTCTGGAGCCAGGTGTCACAGGTTGGGATGGAGTCCTTTTTGCTGTGATTCTGGATGTATTGCTAGAGCAGCAGTCTACCTCTATGACTGTAGATAATACTGTAGATAATACCGTATCATATTTTTATGCACATAATACAGTCTCATGATTCTTTAAAGTCTTTAGCCCTTGAAAAAGCTTGCATGGGTATTCAGCATCTTCAAGTAATCTACAGCAAATCATTGTTAGAGGCACAAATGCTATTGAAGATGTAGAAACTGTGGGAACTGGAGGCAGAAGGTGTAAAGGGGAGAGGAGCCTATAGGGTAAATGCCCCTGTTTATTGCACACTCAGTAGGTTCCCTTAACACAAAAACATTTAAGTTCTCTGCAGCCTTCCACTTAGTGTGAGAATTATTTTGTTGCTCTTTGAATCTTCTGTTGTGTCTGTTCATGCATCTTAGCTCTGTCTTCATAGGCTATTATTTATTTGTCCTAGAATAAAAACCATACAAACACCCTGGACTACAACCTATACTTTAAAAAAAAATGCACTTTCTCTAAGTATTCAGCTATTTTCCTCTATTTCCCTCACAGATAACCCTTCACTGGATCTTTTTACTTCAGAATTGCACATTCCTCTTAGAAGTTTACTTTTCACATATGATGCTACTGTGCAGTTTTTTCCCTCTGGTCTCCATCCATGCCTTTGAATTCTGCTAGATGAGAAGTTGGTCATTTCCAGTGATTTAGCAGAGAAGAAAATAAATGTATTTGTATATATATTTTACAAGTGGAAATAAATAGGCCCCTTAGGTAAAAACGTACCATTCCAGGGTGTAGTATGTAATATATTTGAGGGCAAGTGCATTGAATTATAACAAAATAAATGCTTTTCTTGGTAACTGCTACCACTCTTCTTTCAACCCATATTTGTTCAAAACTGGATAGAAAAAACTCACTGGGTATGATTGCATTCCTTATGATTACCAAAGAGGTGACATTCATTCAGGAATATCCGAGAAGTACAAAATCTGTAACAGAGGTTTTCCCTAATCTTATTACTGCAAACCTCCCTTTTTTAAGTAGCCCTTGCATTTTGGTATTGCAAGAATTACTTTTCGCAGGACTGACCTGCACCAAGACAAAATCCTATTGTTAGAAATCTAAATTTTGCAGAGCTGAGGTTATAAGAGCTTCAGAAAGCAGGATTGCTGATTTATCAGGAATCTGGCAATATTTAAAAAAAAATCAGAAGCAGCATTATGAATACCTCCCTCTGCCTGTTTGAAAAAGCTTACGCTTGTTAAGCACAAAATTTCTGAGGTTTTTTTTTCAACCCAATTTAATAATTTAAATGACAGAAACTTGTCTAATAATAGCTGATTTGTCAGAGGTAGCCTTTTTGAATAGGTGGAGAGAAAGGAGAGGAAACATTGCTTACTGGTGACTACTATTTCAGGATCGTACTTCTAGCACTGACTCACTATAGCCCTGGAAAGTTACAGTGCTTTTGTTCTAGAAAATCCAAAGTAAAGAAAGAACCCATTCTGCTCTAATAGCAAACATCCATTTCATTGTAGCACTGCCTGGAGTTCATTTACAGGAAAAATCCAATGTCTGTTCTTTCTCTCTATGCAGCTATTAAGTCTCACAACTAAGTATTTCCAGTTTCTAGTTCTGTATCTTCTGGAGCTACTTACCTTATTTTTAGCTATCAGTTAGAGTTATCCAGATATCTAGTTACTCATACTGGTTTCTGGAAAGAGATTAACTCAATTACATGAGCAGAATAAAGGGAATGGAGGAGGACACAAAAAAAGACAGCAGTTCCCTCCCACACATCTTCGCTGGGTTATTAGGTGGTAGCAAAATGAATCAGGCTAACACAGGAACCTTACAGTGTCTGAGAAAACTAATGTATCAGTGATCACTTTTGCTAGAAACTCAAGCTGTATCTTTCTAGGTGTTCCATGCCACACTTCTCTCCACCTAGAGCTGTTCCCATCTCCTCTGCAGTTTTAAGTGGGGGATTGGTACGTCATGCTTTCATATAAATAGAATCTGCATTAGTTTTTTCCTGAGATTTAATCCCTTAATTTCCATACTTTCGTTTCATGCCATTGTCAGGAACCTGAAGTTTTTAATCAGGAACTTTTAGCTAGCACTTTTGGAACTAGCCAGCTGCATAAGAAAAGATGTGCCCATTTTTGCAAGCCTCAATTTTCGCGTGTTATTCTGGTTAGTAGGCTGGGTCCCTCAACAGTCACATATCAGAGGCTTCTCTTTCATAGTTACAAAGTACTTGTTAATGATAAATTCTCTTTTTTCGTGAAACCTTTACCCAGCTTATGCTTATCCCTCATGCTGTCAGGTATTTGTGCTTCATGCCAAACCAGCTCACGTTCTCCAATGCTGCTGTTTTATTTCAGAGAGGGTAATTTACTCTTAAAAGTGTACCACTACAGCAGTAGCCTCTGAAGGATCTGAAGGTAGAAGGCCATCTCATTACCCTGGGTAATCCTTAGTTGTCTTGTGACAATTCTCTGCACACAAAATTACTGTGACACCAATGTGTGTTTTTTCAAGGTTTAACATGTGTCATTCCCTCACTTCATGTATTCCAGAGACCTGCTTAGAAGATGCCCAAAGTATTTTAAGTAAACAGTGATGGCTGGGTATACATTAGTATTCAGTAGCCACAAGTCCTTTCAAAGTGAACAGAGCAGCTGGGGTTACTGTATGTGACCTTCTATAGAAATACCAGAATATAGAATTAGAAGCTTTCTTGTAAGTATTTGAGTTTGAAAGTATCAAGCGTGTCCCTGAAGAATGCCTGGTCTGGGAGGAGGCTGTAGGTGTGTCACTTTGCCCCAAAGTGTTCAGATTTCTGGAAGAGCATCCAACAAAATGAAGGAGTGCCACGTTCCTTTGCAGGTTTTTAACAGGATTTTACAGGTTTTTTT